TAGAGACTCCTGCCAGGCTGTAAACCATGCAAGGAACATGCCCCCATCCCATCTGCACAATCCTTTTTCTTTCTTCCCACCTTCTGTAATTCACTTGCTCTTACACCAATGCACTGTAATTTTACTTAAAAAAAAGCAGCCTAAGTATCTAGTGTGGCAAACCCAAAGGCTTGATCTGACTGTAATTTCTGGGTATCACTGCAGAACCAATCAAAATAGTAATCCAGCTACCCTACAAGATTATCCCCCTTCTTAGAAGCTCTGCTCGGCACTGCTTATACAGCACAGTGGGAAGACAGTTTTCCTCCTCCATACTTGGCTTTCAGTGAATTCATAATGGAGTACTGCTCATCCAATGCTTCCTGCAGCTGGCTGACTCGTGCTGCAGACATTCTGAATTTGGGAGGAAAAAAAGGGAAAAAAAAAAACCAAGGTGGGTCATTTCTGCCAGGAAATGGAGAGTGCTCAATTCTGCCATCAAAGAGCAGAAAACATTTAGAAATCTAACTCACTTCTCACTCCTGGCTCTTTCTTCCTTCTGCTTGTCTACAGTATCGACAAAATCCATTAACTGTGAGGAAGGCAAAATTCAGTGAGAAAATGAACTGCATCAACTACACACCTTTACATTTCTCATCTCTCTCTTCCCGACAACAGCTGAAGAGACGTCAAGCCACTCTACTGGAAGCAAACTAGAAGTTTCATTGGTTTATTAGCACATCTGAATAAGGTCATCAGCTAGAGGGATTCTGCATCCTGAGGCATCAGATGAAAAAACAGATCTCTGGGATTACACCACTTGGAAAGTATCAAACCAATTGCAAAAGAAGAAATGAAAGCACAAATAACCAGAACTCCTCCAGAATCCAGAGTGAATATGTGTCCATACTCATACTGTCACTTGATTCCTAGGCAACCTAGCTCAGAAGACAGACTCAATGTACTAAACCATGCCCATGCAACTTCAGGTGCACAATAATACTGTCACTGAGTGCTCTGTGGGCACCTCAAGGGAAAGCAAAGGATTCTAGTTACTCCATTTGAACTGCCAACATCTGCTGACCTGCTTGTTCTTCTCATCCTTCAGACTCAAAACCTCCTTGCTGAGGATGTTCACTTGGTTCTGGGCCTCACTCAGGATAGCCTCACGGTCTTGGTTGTGATCCAAGGCTTGCTCTGAGGCAGAGAGAGAGCAGGAGAACACGCACAAGTTTCTAAAGTAACAGAATAGCAAGCACTGCTGGAAGACACAGCATTCAGGATGGCTACTGGCTATCAGAAGCACCAGGACAGTTGCCCTTCTCAGGCGAGGCCATGTAGAGAGTCCCACCTTACATCACAAGGTGGGATGGGATGGGATCAAAGAGAGCAGTGTGTGTGGGGTAATCAACACCTCAACCTCAGGAAAGCTGTTCAACTCTGCTGTGGGCAGGGCAATGACACACGATGTGCTGCATAAGCCACATCAAAACTTGGCTCATCAGAGGCTAACTATGAGCAAAAGTCTCACGTTCTCCCACATTCACAGAGCACGGAAATATCTAATAACTCCATCTAAATTTTTTTTTGCTTTTGCTGGTGAAGGTGACACTTCCAACTTGATTAGCTCTCACTAAAGGACACGAGCAGGTGACATAGGGCACTGTGGAAACGCTATTGAGAAAGGAAGGGAAAGAGGGTTAGCTCTCTTCTGAGAGCTGCCCTATATCCCCCAAGTGCTGAACTGGGAAAGGATTCGTTACTGTACACACATCATACTTACCTACAGCTTTCAGGATGTCACCAGGAACATTGTTCCCTGCCAGCTCCAGCCTCTTCAGGGTCTTGTTGCTGTGCAAGCAGTTCAGCAAAGCTCGGCCACCCAGAAGCCCAACGTTATTCCATCGCAAATCTACACAGAAAGCACACTGCACCATGGCAATCACCTATCTGCTGAAAAACACAGGGCTCAAGAGAACCCATGCTCTTTACATATCTACAGGCATGGTTAACTAATCCCAGATGGTCTTAGCACAAACACAAGTGAATACTGTGGCCCTTTCAAGATGGTTGAGAAGGAGAGAAAGTGACAAAGCAGGAAAGGCAAGGATAAATCTTCAGCAAACTGCAGAAAACCATGACAGTTGAAAATCTACACAAGTCTGCATCTCACATTTGGCTCTCACGAGCCTTCCTTCTACAGACAAAATCTGTGGATGAGAAAGAATCAACAACAAAAGGCACATTTCCTGAAGGAATTTCCAGCAAAATTCCACGTAAGGACAAAGCAAGTGTGAACTAAGGATCAAGAGGCTGTCAAGAGGCATGCCAACAGCAACCACAAAAAAGAATGAAAACACTTCCTCCTCCACTAAAGACTGTTCTGCTCCAAAAACACAGTTCTTCATGGGCAGGTTTGGCTCCAGAGATTACAGTTTCAGTTCCCATTCTCCAAAGGCCATGAGGTTGTGACCTCTCCCTACACAAAGCCAGCAAAGCGCTCTAGACAGGAACTGGAAATGACACCGACCGTTTTGGAAGAAACTGAGGCAAGAAACCTGAAGATACATGTGTGTTTGCATGCATATACATATATGTGGGCAAAGAATTCTTACCCAGCTCCTGAAGGCTGCTATTTTGTGTCAGTGCCATGGCCAGCTCTCCAGCCCCTTGATGGTTAATCTGGTTATTGCGCAGGTCCAGATGCTGAAGAAAGTTGTTTGCCCTCAGTCCTTGGCAGAAAAAGGAGAAGCCCTCTTCCCACATGCCGAGGCTGTTCCATTCTAAGGTTAAACTAGGGAAATCAGACAGGATTAGTGTTGGTGGAGCAAATGGACAGCTGCATGAACTTGAATGATACACGGATCACAGTATATCCAGTCAAACACCCAGCTCTGTGAGCGGACTGGGCTTCAGAGAGCAGCATGCTGCCAGGGCCCAGCATCCTCCAAAAGAGCACCTCCAGTTTTCATGCCTTTGCCTTTCCCACCCCCCACAACAAATTATAACACTTGGTATTCTTCCTACCGCAACAAAAAACACCCTCAACCCTTTTCAAATGTTGTGCTCCATACAGCAGGAATAGCACGAAGAGAGGTAGATACATTTTTTTACCTCCTGATGGATTTGTTCTGCCTAAGAAGTTTTCCCAAAGCCTCAGCTCCCATGGTTCGCAGGTTATTTCCCTGAAACAGAAGCCCCAGGTGACCAGTAGGCTAAATCTGTCCCAGTCCACCTAGACCACAACCACTACCAGATACATCCCAGCTATAATGCCAATTTCAGTCGAGCAAAGATGGTCCAATCAACATTTGTTTCACATATCAGTCAGCCTTCCACAAAATGAAAAGCCCCGGAGGAACAGTGGATCCATAGGCACCACTGGTCTCCTGAGGGCACCACGACTGAGAGCTTGCAAAAATCACAAAATAGCACAGGATCAGCATGGGCCATGATGGGACAGAAAATGGCAATTCTAGATAAGCATAACTATTTTACACACTTCATTAAGAAGGGCTCTATTAACACTTGCACAAATGAGTAAGAAAATTATGACGCACTTTGTGACTGCAAATTCAAGAAACAGCTGCATGCCAGAGGAATACAGACAGAAAGTCACTCTCAGTAGAGAAACAATCACATCTGAAGACAGATGCTTAGTTCAAAGCCCAGGCTAGTCAAAAGACAGAAACACAAGAAGAACAGCTAGTAACTCACTGATCAATACAGAAATCCCAAAAAAAGCCTACATGTGCCTCATTTGCCCAAGCAGCAACTGACAAAAGGTATACTGCAATGACTTCCTATCAAAATAGAGTAACTGAATAGAAGGGGGTTAAAGACAATCTGCAAAGTAACTTTGGAAAATTGTGACATGGTGTTAACAAGTCAAGGAATTAGTCACTTGAGAACAAAAACCTTAGAGAAGTATGCATCTTGTTGAACAATCCTGCACCAGGACTATCCACTTCTATTTCCAATTAAGCCTGTGCTCCTTCTTCTCTTTCCACCATAGAACACTCTTACTTCTATTTAAACAGACTCACCTTCAGATCCAAAGATTTGACCGTGGTGTTGGAGCAAAGACCATGTAACAAAAGTCTTACACCTGAGCGAGAAAAAAAAGCTATTTATTTAACCTGCAAAACCCTCTGCCTAAACTGGCAGCATATCATCCCAGCGTATCATCCTGTTAAACAGCCAGCTCAGGAGACGTGGCTGCGATAAACAAATTACTTGGTAAACTGCCACTACTGCTGGAAAGCATGAGCCCGAGCTTTCAGGACAGGAGACTGTTTATATTACTCTCAAAAAGGTGTCCGGGCAGAGAACTACATGTCCGCTTGTGTATCTACCTGACTCAGCCCTGAAAAAAGCGCACGTTTAGACACGCTCTGCTGCCCACGGAGCCCCCTCACTGCCGGCCACTTCAACCGGCCGGACTGTCCTGTCTGTGAAAGGCCATCAAAAGCAGAGCTGCCCCCGCCATCGGAGACAGAACCGAGGGGTGCGTGACCACCCGCACGGTCACGGACTGAGCACCACCGCCGGCCTCAAATACGAGCGGCCTCCCGCCCCACCTCGCTCGCCGCCGGAGGGAGAGCGGGCCCGCCGACCCAGCCCGAGACCGCGGTGAGGGCGGCCCCGCTCGGGCCAGACCCGCGCGCACCTTCCTCGCTCAAGCCGCAGTCGCCAAGCGCCAGCGCGGCGAAGGGCGCGGCACCGGGCAGCAGCCGGCCCAGCGCGCTGCACGTCTGCAGCGACAGGCTCTGCGCCGCCAGGTCCAGGCGGCCCCGCGCCGCCGCGGGCTCCCGCAGGCGCCGCAGCACGGCCTCCTGCGGGGCCGCGCCCGCCGCCGCGCAAAGCCGCGCGTAGTCCTGCGCCAGCCGCTCCATGGCCGCGCGCGTTCCCGCCCGGAAGCGCTCCCTGTCGCGCGCGTTCCCCCCCGGAAGCGCTCCCTGGCCGCGCGCGTTCCCGCCCGGCGCGCGCCCCCGGGAGGCGGGCCAGGCAGCGCGCGGGACATGGAGGAGCGGGGCGGCCGCGCCGGCGGCTTCAGGAAGGTGCGGCCGCTCCGGGCGGGCGCGGGGCACTGCCCCTACCCTGCTCATCTGTTCCTCTCTCCGCGCAGGACACCGTGGATCGCCTTCTCCGCCTCTATTTCCGGGACGGGAGGACCCGAGGTACCGTGGCGGCGGCGGCGGCGGGCGGGTCCGGGCGGCTCGGGCCGAGCCCCCGCCTCCCCTAAGCGCCTTGTCATTGCAGTTAACACCGACGCGCAGCTGCTGATGGCTGAGATGCTGAAGGTCTTCGTCCGAGGTGAGCGCGTAGGGCCACCCCCGCCCCAGCTTTAGAGCGATGGGCTCTCTCTTGTCGCCGGGCACCTGGCCAACCTTCGACTCCTCCCGTCCTGCTTCAGCTCTGCTGCTCAGCTGGAGTCCTGGCCTAGCTGCCCGCACTCATCCGGGGCGGTGGGCCACCTCCCTCCTCCCAGGACACCAGCCCGCAGGTGCTCCCAGACCCCTCTCACGGCCCTTCCCCTTCTTTCACTTGGGCTGTAGAAGCGGCGGCACGGGCAGCGCGGCAGGCTCAGGCAGAGGACCTGAAGAAGGTGGATACGGAGCAGCTGGAGAAAGTGTTGCCACAGCTGGTATGTAACTGTGGGCCCGAACTGCACGGGAGCAGGCTGAGGGTATGAGCTGAAACAGCCTAATGCTCATCCTTTCGGGAGCTGTTTTGAGAACCCAATCTGTGTCGTAACTTACTGCTCTTTCCTTACAGCTTCTGGATTTCTAGAAGCCTCCTGAAGCACATCACCTGTCAGCAGACAGTTCCGACCTCACACATGTCTCAGCCTCAGAGACACTCTGGGACGAACAGTCTCAACTTTTTCTTCCTCTGCCCTTTTGCTTCTGTTTCCTCTCTCCTTTACCAAGCACAACACAGCCCAAAGAAGCAATGCTGTCAGATATTATTTTTGAGAAGAGGCTGCCACAGGTTGTTTTGTTCAGCTGAGTGCATAACTGGTTTCCATCCTGTATGTCACAACATGGTAAGAAGCCGTTGCTTTCTCAGCTAACATGAGAAAGAGGTGCTGCTTCACAGAGATCCATGGAAAGACTTAATGGCTGGAAATACCATCCAGCCTTCAGGCGCTCATTGCCTCAAGCAGGCAGCTGTAACAGCAACTCCAGGTGCAGCTCCAAGCCTTTCTAATGAATAGGTCATTAACAGGAGCTTAGTCACAGGCTCTTGCCAAGAGCAGGTAACTGATCTTTATTTTATAAATAAACAGTGTCTGTCCCTCACTGCCTTCTAGTATTTCTCCAGGGCTGTAACATCAAAGAATGCTTGAAACCTTTTAACCGTTCAATATTCTCAGAGGCTGTTCCCCCTCTGCTATAAATTTGTTCACACAAAGAAACATCAGTAAGTTAGAAACGAGTCTCTCTTCCTTGTGTAGGCTCTTTGCTGCAATTCATCATCAAAAGTCAAGTTGCTTCAAAGACTTGCAGAGTTTCCCCCTCGCCCACCCTCTTCCCTAAATCTTTGTAGGACGAAAGGAAAAAAGGACAAAATAACAAACAGCATGTGTGAGAATCCCACATCACGGGACAGCCTGGCCCCTCTGGCAGCAGGGGGGCCACTGTGAAATAAGAAACTTTACACATGTGGGCAGGACCCACAGAACCCAATGCATGGCTGGCTGCACTGAGCGCAGCTGGGGCCTGCCCACTCCTGCTGCTGGCTCACTGCAGGATCAGAAACAGCGAGCAGTCCTTTCCTCAGGAACAGCTCTGACAGGCAGAGGCTCAGGTTGCTGTGCACGCTGAGCTAGGAGCTATCCCTGAGGACATCAGCCACTTGGAAACCTCACAAAACCTGCAGTTTTAGTACACATTCTGGTGACAGTACTAGCTTAAGCAGTCCCCAGGCCTCAGCACTGCAATTTCTTAGTACAGCTGTAAAAAACACATAATGAAGGAACTGACCTAGTTCAGCCTTCAGCCCCACAACCCACAGTAAAAAAAGGCAATAGCAAAAAAACCCGAAAAACTGCAAGTGATGCTACCTTCGAATGCCCTAAAACCCCAAGGATGAGTTCAGCTACTATAGCAGAAGTGATACTGAAACAAAACCAGTTCATCAGGTATCTGCAGGTACTGTTCTTCAGCAGAGCAGGAATCCTTGTAGCAAGTACCTTAGCGAAGAGCCCACTGTTTTAAATGTGGGAGTGTCCTGTCCCCCTTAAAGAATTCACTCCTACTTCCTTGCCTTTTCCAGATTTCAGGTCCTCATCTCTGCCTCTACTCTGACACCTACTACCGAAACAGCAATTCCAAAGTTGCTGCCCTTAAAAGGCTCAAATTCCCTTCCCTGGCACACACAGAACTGCTGATGTGGACATCCACAGTAAAGCAGCAACCGAACAGCAGCAGCAGCCAAAAGTAACTCTTTGTATAGGGAAAGCAGAATTAGACTTCTTGTCTAGCTATTGAAGGCAGCAATTTTTCATTCTTATGATTAAACTGGGTTTGATGCACAGCTTAGTTACACAAGGGACAAGCATAGGCAGAACTGCCTGAGGGAACACGGTCAGCAATGTAAAGCCCCTACACTTAACCCATGAAGCTGTCCCAGGAATACTGATATTGCTGCTTGTGTCCCTAAACTTGTTTTTCCATGTCAGCGACTTGCAGCAGATAGTTATGGTGCTAACCCTTTAAAAAAGCTGACATAATTAAAAGAGCTAAGCAAATCAGTTAAGCAGATTGTACTATTTGATGTCACCTGTGTTCTTCAAAATACAAGGACGAGCACATCTGAAGGCACACTGCAACTTCCTCCCAACCACACTGCTTCTGCATATTCTAATCCTGGAAACCAAGAACACCAGCACAAGTATTTCACCACCTATCATTAGTAATGGCTCCTGGTTTCCCCACAGGACATCCTGTATAAATTCAGCAAGGCAGCTCTAGCTACTGTCTACCTCTGATGTGTGTGACATGAATAAGCCTGATAGAGCAACCTAACCAAGATACCAACAGTCCTAGGCAGCATAGGCTCAGCTCACGCTTAGTCAACTAAAGAGTAATAAAGTTTAAACATTATTTGATTGGGTTTTTTTGGTTTGCTGTGGTATGTCTTTTATAGCCTATCGAGTGGCAGAAGAGCTTGCTTTCCACAGGGAGGGTTTAGTAGAGGAGCTGTACACAGTGCTCTCACATTCCCGCTGCCAGTGGCTGCACACGTTCCCTGTTTATGTTTGGGTGTCATATAAGAAATCAATCAACATTTTTGCTAAGCATTCTGCGCTCCTTCTGCTTTGAGTCTCCCTCTTCCACCTTTCTTTCATGCCTCCCCCTTCCTCCAAGTTTCTTCAAAGCATCTGTGAGCATTTGGAAGTAATTAGACCTGAAGGGGAATGTTGGCCAGGCAGGGAGAAAATGACAAGTGCCAGGAACCCAGGGTGCCCTTTCTAGCCACTTTGAAGTTCGTTCAGATGGTACAAAGCTCCGTTTTGCTTTGTTGGAAAAAAATGGGAGGAAGGGAATGAGGCATGGCAGGCCAATTGAATAGAGAGCAGATTCCTGTGAACTGACAGACATACCAAGTGCCAGGGCAAGAAGCTATCAAAGGGACCGGCCAAAAGGGCCCCGGTGGCCACTCTGCTTTATTACATCTACAAATTGTGCAGATACACACGTGAGGAAACAAGGAAAATGGAAAACATGGTATTACTGTACCAGGGAACCACAGCTCTCCACAGATCACTGATCCATGGAGAAGACTTCAAATAAAATCCAGCACCATGACTGCCATGGCATGACAGAGTTCATCTCCAGTGTAAGGGCAATTCTAACCAATATTCATCCCCCCAACACATCTGCAGGAGACAAAGGTCTGGACTGGGCCTTTTCCCTGTACACTAACTGCAGTGCAGAGCACAGCTACCCTGCTTTGGGACTACTCAGGCCACCAATCGACTGCCATTTGAAGAGACCTTTTCACTGTATTTTTTTTTTCCTTGCTGTAACTAATTACTGATGGTAATTATACACAGTGGAAATAAAACTAGAGCTTAGGATAGACAAGACCAACAGGCATTCCATGAACAGACACCTGTGCTCCTTGTTAACAAGATTCTGGCAACTAAACACAATACGAGTGCAGCAGCCTGAGTGCTTCACAGGAAAGTTCACTGATCTGAACTGCTTGAAGTAACTTAAGTGCTTCCTCTTCATTCCTTTTCCAGCCACCTATGTCCAGAATTATCAGCAGCAATAACCCTAATCACCAAGAGACAGAGAAAAATCTTGTTCTAGGCACCACTTAACAATTAATTATAGGTAAAGCTGAACCAGATTCTATCTTGCTGCTAGAATACAGGCAGCTAGACTCAAGTGACCTCTGAAGGTGGAGCTGAGAGGATTTGAATTTAAAAATATGGATAGAAACAAAGTCCTTTGCAAAAAGTGCATAGGAATCATGTCCCCCTTAATTCTCTATTCTTATTATTTGCATGCAAGAAACCTTAAATTTAACCTCTAACCTTGCTTCTGTAGTCACAGACCATAAACAGGCCTTCCATTGCTCCACCAGCTGCAAAGGGTATCTGAAATAGCCATTCTCTTTTTATAACTAATGTTCATTCAGATTAGATCTCTCCAGGGCCACCAACACATTTTAAACATTCTTAGTAACTTCATGGAGAAAAGGGCACAGCTGACAGCTCAGTGATCCAGCAGCCCAGGATTCTTCATCTTCAGGATTCTTCATCTCTTTCCACCTACAAAATAAATACAGCACCATTAAAACACTTAACATGTAATTATGACTTACTCATTTCTGAATAACACAGTCTAGTGGCTGAGGGTTCTGGTCCCTGCTGTGCTCAGGCAGCACTGGGGACCACAAGAGAGCACTTGGGGAGATGAAATGGTAAATACATCACAAATTTCAGAGCAGGGAACTTCATCCTTCCTGGTTTTAACATGCAGCTTAGAGCATATTATTCATAACAATTGTTAAATGGGAAACCTGCACAGGTAGGTGAGATGATATTTTGTACTTTATCTAGATAGTCTTGGAAAAGAAAACTATTTCAAGTGCAATGCTTCCAACATACTGGAAATGGGAAACAGTGAAGATCCTGTTTCCCACTACATCAGCATCTCAGCACCAATCTAAACCAGACCAGCCACAGCAGGGAAACACACTGACCCACTGTTTACAGCCTTCACACCTTGCCCTCTGCTTGCTGGAACTGACAGCATTGTCTTCCAGAAACAAACACTAAAATTCTCATCCATGAAGTTAACATTTGGTATTATTAGCCAGGTCACTCCATATAAGAATTACTAGCTTTGCTGTCATTAAGGGAGCAGACTGATTGTCTCTTTTTTTTTTTTCCCCCTTTCTTTCTCTTCCTCTCCTCCCCTCCCCTTGTCTTTGCCACTGCATCAAAAAGTGAATATTATTGCCAATTGTTTAATTCGGTAATTCTTTTTATAATTACTTCATATTCTGTATAAATTCTCATCTAAAATACACACATAAGCCATTTGTCCTGGGACTAAAAACAAGGTCACAGTTTTGTGATCAGGATAAAACAAGAAAAAAATCACAATCGACACTTGGTTGCAATCTTAATTATGGAAAACCCCTACTGGTTTGCAGTGAAGATTAAAAAAAGGAAGACCAACTCAAAAATTCAAGAGAATTAAAAGTACTAAAACTTTAGGTTTTTAGACTATAGCAGCAAAAGGAAAGTTATGTCAGAGATTTAACAGATTACATGGGCCCTTGGTATGTAGAATATCCTGCCTATTAGTATTTGAACTACACTGGCAGAGATAAGAGCTCAGCACATCAAGCTCAGAACACTGTTAAAAATGCTACAAGCATATGAATTAGGCATCAGACTTCCCAATGTTCAGAATCTGCATTCAGAAACTTCTCAAGTGAAGGCTGAGGTTCAAGTCACCAACAAATTTATGACTGACAAGCATTGAACCAAATGTGCTGCAAGCATAAGCTGATGTCTGCAACAATACCATCAATGTCCAGCATGTTTGGCTGAGAGGAGGCCGCCTTTTGGGGCACTTCAGAATGAGCAAAGCTCTCCTATGATTCATTGATACCTGGAAGCTTCAGCCATTTGGGTATTTTCCCAGGGGCTTTTCTAAACACTTGTAGAGCTCCCTGAGTGCTGGCTGCTTCAGGCTGCTCAATGGTCTTTTTGTCACTTCTCACTTCTGGTTCAGGTAGGGAAGGAGCCACTGATGCTAAAGTTGATGAAGCAGAAGGAACTAATGATCTGGACAAACATCAGAGAAAGGAAATAAGCAAGTAGAATTAAGCTTCATTTTTCATAATAGCCCCCTGTACCACCACCTCTTTTAAAGTTAGATTGAAAAAGCTCTTATTTTTTCATGATAGAAGCACTAGCATTTACTTAAGTCTGAAATCCTGAAATTACTGAAATCCTACTTTGCAAAGGATTTACAAAGCTATGAAGTAGAGTATGACAGTATGACTGTTTTGGAGAGAAGGAAGTCCTAGTATCTTCCAAGAGTTCTTTGTAGTAAGATGGGCTCATATCGTGCTTCCCATTCCTGAAATACTAAGGCACTTGCAACTCTATTCAACCCCAACATACCTGGCTACTAATAAATCAGCTGCAGAACGAGAAACTGCAGAGCTCAGCAGGTCCGATTTCAGGTAACAAGCTGTTTAGAAATGAAACCAAATCACTTATTTGGTAACACAGATACATCAATCATCACAGTATCACATAGCTCTCAGCTCAAAAAATACCTGCTGTATACTACAGTAAACCTACATCACCTTCCCCCAGTACCAAATCATGCCAGTTTCTTTCACAACTCACAGGTGTTCTATTTCATCATTCAAACCTCAAGACCTTGACATTTTCTTTCAGTGCTTATTGCATTTCAGGAACTTTTCTGTGAAGCCAGAGCATACTTTGGTCTCTGGGAGAAACGGGGATTCTAAGCAAAAACCAGAGATGCCAAAGAACCAAAGATTCAGATCTGTTCTACCATCTCCAGCCAGTCCACTACCATAGGAGCTCTGCAAAAGCATTTCATAGATATTTGTAAGGTTAACATTTTGAACAACAGGATTTTTTTTTCTATGGAGTCATTCTTCTATCATTCTTGATCCCATGGCAGACAATGCCTACTCCCCAGCCTATCAAATCCCATAAAAGAGGTACAATGTCTACATCTGTGCTCAAGCTAATTGACTAAACCAGCTCTGAAGAGCTTTAGCCAGTCAGAATTGGGACCACCATTCTCAAGGACTGCAGTTTCTTTTGACAGAAGAAATCTGACAGTAAGGATGCAATACTGAGTCTGCTAGAGGAACAATACAGTCAGCTGAAGGAGAAAGGAAATGCACTCACCCCTGCACTCCTCTGATCCAAAATGAATGACAGCAGTTGGGAAAAGTTTAGCCTGCAGCAAAAGGGGAAAGGAAGGTATCACTGTCGGTAGATGCTTTCACTGTTCACTGTGAACATTAGAGGCAGGTTAGACAGCTACAGACAAATTCATGGAGTTCAAGCCAAGGTCACTAACCATTTGTAATTCAGGAAAACTTAAATTTGTACAGAGCACAGGCCACTCAGATTAAGACATGAAGGAAAATTTTATGATCTGTTCTACTAAACAGGTGATGAGACCTCTAAAGCAAGTGCTCACTGCAGGAAGTGTCCTGCCATTCCTTCTCCTCTGCCCCCACATTTCACGGCATTGTATTGCACCCAGATTCTCCACTGCCGAGCAGGTAACATTAACATGATGAAGACTCTTCTAAGACCTGAGTGCCTGACACCATGAGAAGAAAAATCCAGCTATGCCCTCCCAAATCTATCAAATCTATTCTAAATAATTTTATGACATTTACACCCTGTCTATAGTTAAATTTATCTAATTTCACCACCTTTCCAGGATTAAGTACTTTCTTTTATAAATCCAACCTGAATTCCTAGTTCCTACTTATCATAATAATTGCCATATTCAAACTTTTTTTTTTTTTTTTAAATCCAGGAGGTTTGATGGTTTGTGGGTTTTTTTGCTTTTATTTCAATGGAAGTTCCTGTAATTCGTGTCCATTTCCTCTTGTCTTTTTACAAGGCATTGCTAAGAACTCTGGACTATATCCCTTGCTGTTTCCCATTTCTTTTATTACACACATTGACAAGACCCCCCAGAGCTTCTTTTTCTCCAGGCTGAACAACCTTGACTCTCTATCTCTCCACATATGTCAGATGCAGGTCCCTTCATTATCTTTTGGTCCTTTTGTGGGCACCAGAGAAACTGTGAAACTGGACTCGCATACCCCATGTTCAGCTAAGGAATCACAAATGCACCTGTAGGTATAAAGGAGGGACCTACCTATGGAGGTTGCTCTGCCACGGACCCCAGTGTCACCACATCTCCAAGAAAAACTCAGTGGTACATTACAAAGCACTACACCACCACATCCAGTGGTGCATCCAAGTGTTCCCAAGGGAAACACAGAGCAAGGGAGTCAAAGTTATTAAATTTCATGCTAAAAACAGACATTACTACAAGCTTAGGCTCAGATTTTTAAAAGGGTAAGATATGCAAAAGATTAGTATGATAGGGCATAACCAGCTGTACCAGAAAGGATTCTGGAAAGATAACCATCATATTGATTACCTGCATTATATGCCAGTATAATGCCACATAAAGAGTAACTAGCTGAAATAATTCTGTTAGGCTTTGTACTAAGAGACAGGTAAAGAAACCAAAACATCATGGTGTGAAAGAGGCAAGTACTGCTATAGCCAGAAACTGTACAGCCAAATGTTAATTAATGGTCTACATTTACCCTGGCAAATCAGTAACACTAAACTTGTCACACTGATCCAACAAATAAATAACCAGATAAAAGCAAGTCACTGCCCCACTTGGTATCACTGATATGTACTTGGGAACTGTGCAGGGCAGACTGACTGCTCTGGAGTTTTCCTGAGCTTCTGTTGCCACCATCAGCCCAAGCTGGATACTGGAATGATGGTCCTTGGACCCAATCCAGCACAGCAATTACCAGAACTCAACAGAACCCTGATCTTCACTGAGGAGGCTGTGGACTGCTGCCTAATATGGAGACTAATAAAACTGTATTAACTGAAGACAAAATGAAAGAGCTTCACCTCTCTTCCTGCCTACAAGCTTCAGATGAGCATATGGTATTACACTTTTTTTGACATTAATCTAGAGGCCATAATAGACTGTGTCATGCAGCACAGTCAACATCACGCTAAGCTGAAACAGGAGATTTTTACCACTCTACCCCAAGACTCAGCTTCTGCTAAAGCATCCAGGCGAATTCACATCTTTGAACTGACATTTTAGCAAAAATAATTATTTAGTAGGTCTTTTAACATTTCATTCCTCAATCAACAGGGCCTAAGGTTGCCTGTTCCAGTCACAAAGACAGCTCTCCATAAACTTTTTTAATTACAAAGTACCAGACATGGTTTAGAAACCCCAGAAAAAACTCTTACAAGAGCTTTGATGTTTCTACAGCTTCGTCTATTTAGGAAATGGGTGCCTTAAAAAAGGCCCCCCCAACACACATACACTCAAGCCCTTTTACACACAACATCCTTTTCATGCCAGCTGCAAGTTGGAAAATGAGGTTTTTGTAGTGTGTTAGTGTTGGAATTTTTTAATAACCTCCCCTCTCTTTTTTTTGCCTCCCGACCAATTATCTTGGTAAATAATTAACATTCTGAAGGAGATAAGTAAGCACAGAAACTCAGAACTCAAAGCCCTTTAGTTCAAAGCCCTGCCCTTTTCTCTTCGTTTCCCTGCTGCTGCCACTGAAACTTCCTTGTCAATCAAGCTCTGGGCACACACATCAAAGCCTTATGCGGGAATGGCCCCAAGGGGTCAGAGAAAATTCATGGCAGGGCCTGTGTGAGGCACAAAGAGAGAAAGAGAGTGAGAAACACAGACCAAGAGCTAGACAGACTCACTCAACCAACAAACACATAGACAGACTGTGCCCCAGTATAAACCTCTACCCTATTTACTCACAGGTCATCAAATAACCATAGTTCATAGTTTCAGGATCCACGTCCACAACCATTTCCACTGCTGGCAAAACATCAGTCCAAATGTTTCAGTTCAAAATCTTAACTGAAAGAAACTTTAAGGAGCTAGACAGCAGCCTTCTAGTATGCAACATCCTTCCCATGGCTCCTTTCCCTGCATCCCTATCCTTTCCTCGGAGTCAGCCAACACGGAGTCTCCTCGTTCCAAACCTCTATCCATTAAGTTTTCTTCAATTCAAACAGACTATTGGCTTATGCACAGAACCCTTGGTCTAGCTGCCTTTGTGTGGAATTGTCAGGTACCACTCCAATCGCAGCACTTCCTGAGGGTGCAGCACAGAAAGCAGCCAGCTACATCTCACCTGGGAATTCTCTAACCAGTCACTGGCAGGACCTGATGCTGTCCCAGAGTTTTTTATAATCTGAAAGTATTTAAATCAGCAGCAATTTCACATTAAAAAAAAAAGTCAGGGCAGTAGAATGATCCCAGTGCCCAAGGACTGTCTCGGCATAAAGATGAGAATGTTTTAGTAGATTCTGCCCATGAAAGCATACAAGCCCGAAGTCAAAGCCGTGAGCATTTTTTAACACACCTACGAATGTAATGATCAAACACTGGGCAGACCATCACCTGAAAACTGTATCCTCAAGTCAGCTGTTCTAATGTCTGCTGTTCTAACGCATCTGCCAACGTTTCTAGAAGAGCAGTTCTTCACTGCATAGGGTTCTTGTAAAAACATCTGCGAATCAGAAGAGATTTTGAGAACTTTTAGAATCACACTGAGCCCGCCAGATTGACCAAAATAATCAAAGGATGTTCAAAACAAGTAACTCAAAAAGCTCCACTCACTTACATGCAGAGAATTACTACAACAGGACTGAGCCAACAGCCTGTTACTACTCTCCAACCCACACTCCAACTACACTACAACCCAGCATTTCTCTTCCTTGCTGCTTTCATTTCCAGCCAAAAAAACTGCCATTCTGACTGGGGAAATAGATGCTATTAATCTATTGAACAATAACGTTCAAATCATGCTGTCCAAGGCATATTTACAACACACAGTCAGATTTACTGCACCAATACCTAGACATCCAACTTAAAATGGTATCCCATTGTGCAATTATACAGATGCAACATAAATAAAAACACTTTGAGTTTGTGGGTTGTTTTTATTTTTGTGGGTTTCTGGTTTTTGTGGGCTTTTCTTTTTTATACAGATGAAGAACTGAGACCTAAAGAGATAACTTACTCAAGGTCACACAGGATGGCAGCAGCAGCAATGAGAACTAAGCATGCAAGTCTCCAGAGCCCCATCCAAGATCATAATCACAGGACAGCTTTCTTCTGAAGGGATTAGAAAGTCACTGAGGCAAGGAGTAAAGGAAGCCAATGTCCTGGCTATTACCCTCCTCATTTAGTAAATATCATTCTAAATGACCAGCTCCTCAGATTTTAAAAAGATGTAACACAGCTTCATCCATTTGCTTAGTTGCAGTTACAGAAGTTTAAATGAACACTTTCTATTTCAGAGATCTGAAGACCAGCCTGTTACTCATAAAGCCACATTTAGTCTGGAACTACACAGCTGAGTAACTCCGGTTTTACTGAGATAGTGAACAGTTACTTGGACACTGTGGTGGTGAGCGTGGTTTGTGACAGCCTGGCATCCTGGCTGTGGAGTGCTACACTGGGGCTGCTGCATCTCACATTCCATGATAAAAATATCCACTTTAAAACAACAGTCCCTTGTGTATCCAGCTGTGACACAGCAGAGAGATATTTCTGCTTTGTTTTAGTAATTTGTTCTCTAGAACATGGAGAATATTTCAGGCAGAACCCTCCCTAAATAACACCTCAATGCTTCCTCTTTCTCACACATACATATGCAAAAAAATTCTAGAACAGAGCGTTGCAGATGATGTACATTATTCTGGGAAGTTGTTCTCTTCCCTGTCAGAGCAGGCAGAGGCTGCTGCTGAAGGGAACTTGCAGCTGCCAGAAGGAGCAGCATTCTTTCCGTTACACAATCTGAGAAGATGAGAGTGCCACAGGTCTGCTGTTAGACCGATGTTAGGAAGATGAATAAGAAAATAAGCACTTCAAAGGAACACGCACATGGAAGGAGAAACCCAAGCTACCAACATGAAATACTGCATAGTACACACACCCCAAACACATAAACTAGCTCTTGGAAAATTCAACGGGAAGGCCAGGGGATCAAAAGCAACACTGCACAGCACTGCTGAAATAAACACCACAGTCATGGTGAAAGAGGCAGATCAAGCGGTTCATGTTTATAACCTGAAAACAAAGCTGCCCAATGTGGACTTCACCTGCCAGAGGAGATGGATATTCTGTGGCCAGCATGGAGGAGATCTGATCCAGCTAGGGCGGGGGACCTTAAACTCATGAGGCCAAGATAAGATTTAAAAACACTGTTTTGAGAAGGCTACTTATAAAGGAATCCAAGTATAAAGTACGTTCATTGAGACACTGATAACTGAGATCAGAAAGATCTGGCCTTCAAAAGTGACAGTAGCAGTGAACATTTTGGGCAGGATTTCCACTCCAAATTCAGTTGTGCAAGGAGCCTCCCATTGGAACCAAAGAACTCAGCTGTCCTCAAAGCCAGCACCATGAGGCAAGCATGGACAGTCTCTGTGAGCATAAGTAACAGATCTCACCACAAAAAAAGAAGGTGAGATTGATACCAAATGCAGTCAGATGATAAAATCCTGGATAATAAAATCCTGAAGACTTTTAGGTAAATGCCATCCTCTGTGCTGGATGAATTTCAGTATTAATTGCAACTTTCTTTGCTATTGAGTGCAATAACCACAAGGCCTGCCACAGGAAATGCCTCTGATGGACTGACTCTGATGAAGTAATTTTTTCTGAAATTGCATTCAGACTCGTGCCAAAAGAAAAGGCTTCGTACTGCCTGAGTTGTAGTCAGGTTCTCTGAACAAGCATGCCAGAGATACTGTCCAAACTGGCATTAACAAATAGGATATGGAAAGAGAACCAAAGGCAAAGAAAGCAACAAACAGCTCAACTGGATTTCTGCCTCACGGTATGTGACAGAGGAAACACTCAGTGCACTCTAAGATCTGACTAGAAGATCTAAATATTTATGTGGAAGCCTGTGGATTCCTTTAGCTCCTCTGTAGACAGAGGATGGCCTCCTGCCCTCTCTGATGCCTCGACTTTTCCAGTGACTGGTACTAATACCTTCTGCTAAATCTTTCCTAGTATTAACACAGCAATCAATTTTTTTTTTTTTTTTCCACTAACTCACCCCAGAAATGCACTACAAAACCGCCTGTTTCTGGGAGGAGAAAGAAGCTAAGAAGCAACTCTGAAAAGCTCAGACAGCCTAGAAAAAATACAAACAAGCCACTGGAGCTGTAAGGAACCCAAAGCCAAGTGCTACAACAGGGAAGCCTGTGGTTGATCAGCTCTGGAGAGCAGAACATTATAAAATACTTCAAGGGACATGAAGAGAAGGCTGCCAGCAAAAACAGCAACAACAAAAAAATCAAAGCAATGCCTTGAAGTCTTTATGGGTTCCAAAAACTCCACATTGCTGCCAATCTGTGTGTTCACTATACTGTAAATACACACAGATTTTGGGAGAATTCACTTCAGACAGTTCCTCCAGTCCAAGTATCTTGGCAAACAAGTCAACATCATTTGTCTTCTTTCCTGGTTTTGCTAGCAGTGTAAAGATTCTCTCTTCATTGTAAGTGATCAAATGTAATGCATGTGGTGCCAAACTTGTCAGCTTGAATGGAGGGAGAGGGTGAAAAGAGCAGAATTATTGGTAATATGGTACTTCACCATCTGCAGACACTTCTGCTATTGGCTTCAGCACAAATTTCAGTAATTTATAAATATTTGAATGCTCAAATGTGCTCACACTACTGCCTCAAACATCATCCATTTTTCCTTACCAACACCAACATAGTCTGTAGAGTGGAGGATAGTCTACTGCTAACTTAGGACCATGGGATAACATGACAACTAAATGTTGAAAAGGAATCCAGAATGGCTAGACACACAATGATAGTACCTGCTTTGGAAAAATCAAGATTATGTGCAGCCATCTCTGCAAGGGGAGCACATCAGGTGCCAAGCATCCCAAGAGGCCACAGCTAATGTGACTGACATGCAGCATTTGGGGCAAAAGTGGCGAATTTCGGCAGCTGCATGAAACTACCTGAACCCTTAAAGAGATGTATAACTGCTAAAGACAAACTTCCTCCTGAACTTTTCACACATCCTTCAAGCCCAACAAAGATACAATAAAAAACTTGAGCAATTAGTTGTACTACTTTACTCAAGCTCTCTTTTTCCTGAGATGTCTGGAAGAATTGCATACCCCCCAGCACTTCATTCACACTCACATCCTGTGCACCACAACACTGTTATTCCAGAACAAGCTCTCTCACTACAGGGGTGCTGCATACTGCCAAGTCACCTTAGAGCAAAAGCTCCTTTTTCCCCAGCCCCAAAGCCACATTATTTTACAAAGTACTTTAACCATCTCCCTCCTACCTTTACAGAGCAACTTTGTCTTTTCACCTTCCTCCTTCAGATCAGGGAACAGAAGGGGAGCTTTAACTGAAGTATAAGATGCTTCCCTTCCACAGACCACAGGATGAATGCAAAGGAAAGGTGTCCACAAACGCCAGCCCCGTGCAGGGCACAGTCAGGCACTGCAGCCTGCTCCACAGCAGCCCAAGGGGACCCTTGGCCCACACGAACCTCTTCCCACTCTGAAGATATCTCAGCTTGGGAGGCCACAGCCTCATGTGAGAAGCAGTGAGCAGGTCCCAGCCCCAGCCCCTCCTACCCCAGCACCACAAACATGACCTCTTTCATTCCTGCTCTGGGCAGGGTCATCGTTACTGAGAGCCCCGAGCCCCACTGGGAACAGACTCCTCTAAACACCAACAAGGACACAGCAGGCATGGATGGACACAACAGCTGCAGCCATCTCCACACCTGCTTCTTTCCAGAGAACAAAGGCCCTTCAGCCCCTTTCTTCCAGGTACCCAGACCCCAGCAGAAGGGAAAACTTACCCGAGCAGGAAAATAATGGCAAGAGGGCTGCACTAACATGGTGAAAGTTAAAGAGAAATAAGGATTTACATTGGTTAAGGGCAGCAAAGCTTCTCCCAGAATCAGCCAGCCCAAACTGGGATAAGGCACCATACTGACAGGTCAGACTTCTGTGGTCTTTGACAGCAGTTTGAGTAACCAGAACAGCATGACAAGTTCTCATCAGGAATTGCTTTTTTGCGTTTGATGCTTCATCCAAGTAAAATGTTTATAAACACACAGAATTATTCCTACCATAACAGACCAAGACCTGAAAGGGCTGAAGGGCCCCCAGCAAGGGATATAGGCTACACAGCCACTGGCATTAAACACAGCTCTCCCAAGGACAGAAGAACCACAGGCAGAGCAGAAGTCCATTCAATCCACCCAGTACCCTAACAGTGAACAAAAACCAGATGGACAGAAAACAGTATTCTTGTTTGTAAGTGATTAGCTAACAATGATTTTCAGTTTAGAAGGTTCCCGAGAAGGTTTCTAAATATTAGGACACACTTATTAAATATCTTCCTTGAACTTGTCCAAATGTCTCAAAGTATATACTTTTAGTGTATAGTGTCCTGTGACAAGGAATTCTACGCCTCAGTTTTCTGACACACGAACAACTACCTTCTTCCATCTATTCCAGCTTCTGCTTGCCTCACTTGATGCCACTCACTCATACTTGAGAACAAGAACTCGATGCATTCCAGCTTCTCCTTGGCACGTTATTCCTTTTCCAGTCATATATTTTACAGACTGGCAAGTCCTAACCTACTCAGTCTTTCTTTGGATAGGAGACAATGCAGATCTCTGATGAACCTCATTCCCCTTCTCTGCACCTTCACCAGCTCCTTCTGAAGATGCGAGACCGGATCTGGATGTTATTCAGACAAACCCTGGTCCATATACAGCGACGTTCTCTATTTTTTCACCTGTGGAAGGAGGTTGTTTTCGATTTGACTGCTAGCCAGTAATGAGCTGATGCTTTCATCACCTTAAGACTTCGCTCCAAAGCTTTAATGATCAATGAAAGAGCTCACGAAGCCGAGTATGAAGCTCAAATTATTTTCCCTGCACATCATCACATTTACCAATGTTGAGCCAGCTGGGTAAGCCAAAAATGCAAAGTCAGGCAACTGTTAACTAATGTGATCATCTCTTCATAATGTCATGTGACAATCCCTAAAAAATATTCTAAGCAAAAGATTTTGCTTGCTTTCCACATTTTGCAAGTAATCGTAATGATTCTGTATAGTTAAGATTGTGTTTAAAAACTCAATTTTACTTTAACTATAGCCAAATTCTCTACATAACCACTAGTTTAATTTGACTGTGGTGTGATTACACATGGCATGAATAAAAACATATCTTAAATTAAGTTTGGATTTGACAACCTTTATCTTAGTTGAGCATTATTCCTCTTCCATGGTGAGAGAGAGGACATGAGAAATAAGAAAAAAATCCTTTCCTTAAAACAGTCCATCTAAAAATAATTTTCCACTTTTGAGCATAGCATCTTGAACGGTCCCAGTGTTCTGTACCAAAGTCAAGGCTTTGCACCTTTGCCATGTGCCACTGCAAGCACTGCAGTCCATGGAAAGCCACTGCACACTGGAGATGTTTGACACTAAAATCGACCAGCTTCTTCATAAAACTGTGATTTCTAACGAAATCCCTAAAACTGGGCTGTAAGGCACCTCCAAGTCTTTAAAGAGCACTAATTTAACATGCTTTCATGTTTCAGGGAGCTGCCACGAAGAATGAATTTCACACCTAGGAAACCGGGAAATGGCCACACATATGACAAGCAGCAGTAATGGTGTCAGGTACAGAACAAAGGCTTTAACGCAGCAAACTGAACAAAATTCCTGCCATAAAGTTTCTTATTTCAAAGACAATGAGATGTAATTATTCCTGTGGTGTTTTACTGAAAAAGTCATGTTTCAGGAGACATCCAGAGTAACACGAGATGTGCACTGAGAAAGAGAAAATAAAAGAACAGTACTGCAGGGCGGGGGAGGCAGGCAAGGGGTAAATGGAGGTAACAGAGGATTTAGAACATTATAGAAAACAAACCAAAGTTAACAAGGGAGACCAGAACCAGCATCAGAGGATCAACAGGAGGCAAATACAAGTCTGAACATTCAATCACCTAAAAGCATCTGCATGTGTATTTCTTCCACATGGCCTACTCAGGAAGTTGAGAAACTTGGAAAACTTCACTGCAAAAAACTTCCGAGGCATGCTAATCACTACCTAATTCACCACGCTGCCTGAAAATCCCTTGCTCTATCCCTCTCCCCACCCCAGCCCTTCTGCTCCCTCAGGGACATCAAACAAGAATTCTCACTGCTGCTGCGTGAGCCTTTACTCTGAAGGATGTCTGGTGCATCAATCTGGAATGGTCCATGCAGTTCTGAATGACAGAACATTTTAAACACAATGAGTTTGTTGCAAAGTCAGTGGCAAAATCACTCAAACACTCCTAACACGTGTGAACTACACAGCCAATATTCTCTGGCAAGGGACTTCCAAGACCACCTTATCTGACACTTGCAAAAAATCTCAAGGAATTTTAATTTGAAAACCTGTATTTCAGTATTTTCAGAGAAAAATTACACAAAGAGAAGGCATATTCCTCATTGTACATTGACTCTCACATAGTGATTTCAAAATGGTCAGATTTTTGTCTAATATGGCCTCTAGCTCCCACTGTAGAAATGGAAAACAGTTCTCTGTCCACATCGAGTCACATCCCTTACCATCCTAGTCCAGCTACAGAGCACACTCAGCTCAGCTCCTGCAATGTTCCAGGTTAAATACACGGAGTATGTACCAAACAATGCAGATCCCACCCCTGCCTATTGCTGCACAAGGTGGACCTCTTCTGGTGAAGAGCTTGTGCTCCAAAACACCTGGTTCCACTAGCCCTGGCTGAGCAGAAGCCTACTGGGATCACAGCATTATACAGCTTCCTTTAAAAGTAACTGAAGCCTGAGGAAGGGTTAAGGGGAGCATAAACCAGAGAAAATCAGAGTCCATGTGTGAGTCCTTACCTCAAACAGCGTCAGACTTTCATCGTTCAAGATGACTCTGGGAGGTGCAACAACTGAAGTTAAAAAACAAGTTATAAAACAGGACCACCTAGCAACCAGAACATCAAACACAGGTGTGGGAGGCATCCCTGCTCTCTGAAGGGCTGACACCTTCATATGCCCACAGAGGCTGCTTCTTAGGGAGAAGAATAACATGGCTAAGGGAGCAGGTTACATCTTCTCTGCACTGTGAAGCTGTGTTTTTGGAAAGGCATTCTTTCCCAGGTTATATCTCAGGCATCAACATCCCACAGCCAGAAACAGGCTTTGTAAAGTAAGGCCAAATATTACCAACAGCACTCACACAAGTAAAATGGCAACTCTGCATCGGCAAGGTGGCTTCTCACAAAGTCTCTCAAAATGCCAACTGTGGAAAAAGGAGAGAAAGGTTTGCTAAATTAAATTTGGTTCTTCAAATGCTGGGCAAGAAGGCTAACTTGTAACAGCAGAAATGCCCTCTAGAAGGTATGGAGATTGCCTTTTCCTCCAAAAGTACACTGCTGCTATCACAAATTTCTTGTAGAAAAACAAACAAACAAAACAAATCACTTTGACATGCTGGTCCCTTGGAAAAATCTAAGGATGCCTACAAAATTATCAAAAATGTTTGTGCAGGTAACCATGGCTGGCAGCTGAGAATAAGAGGATCTCCAGTAGTAACAGTAAGAGTTACTCGGTGCATGGTCTGATTGCCTTTTGTGAACTGACAGAGCCATAAAGGTACATCCTCTCTTAGTACAGTTGCTAGAGATTTTTTTTCTCCTTCCTGCTTTTTGGGGTATGTTTTGGATTGGGGAAGGGGGTGGTGTTTTTCCCCCAAAAACGTTTTATGCATTAACAAAGAGGAAGTCTGCAAATGCAATCCCAGTAACACATCATTTAGACACAAACAAGGGATAGCAAGTGGGACAGCTTCCTGTCCACACAAGGACAAGTATTTTACCATCTCCACCAAGTAGCCCTTAGCTAACTAACTAGCCCAAAATATCTTAGTTCATTCAGGGGCCCTACAATGACAGGGCAACTACCTACTGCTGCTTTTTCAGAGCAGCTTTACTTTGCCAGGCAACAGAAAGAGCTGTTCAGACAGCTCTCTCCTGCCATGGTGGGAGCCACGAGTTACACTGCACAGGCTGAAGGGGTGATCAGTCTTACCAGTTTCAGTGGGATGGAAGAATCCCTGTAGAACATGGCGGTCTGGAAAACAAACTCTCAACACCACCTAAAGCAGAGACAAAGCCCATTAGGACAGTGCTTTATCACTGCTCTGTAACACCTGTCCTTGGCTTAGAATCTGCAAGTTGGTTTTGTTTTTTTTTTTTTTTAAATGGGGAGATCTAGGGTATTTACAGGAATAGAAGAGCAACCTGGCTAACAGTGCTGTGCAGCTTCTCAGAGAACAAGGGCTGTCTTGCTTCCAACGGGAGCATGAGAACTCATCTGTCAAAGCACTATGATGTAAAATGTAGCAGCACTTGCTCAGAGAGTAGGAGCTGCCTGTGGTAAATGATGCACAAACAACAAAGACAGTTCCTCGTGGACAGGTGCAGACAGTTTATTGGCATTCTAATGTGTCCACAGCAGTAGGAATGCTCCTGACATACCTCTGACCTTTGTACTTGCAGCTTGGTCAGAAAGCACTTCACCTGAGAACTGCACAAGGATCAGAGTTACAGAGTAAAATAAATCTAACTTGTAACACTGAATCATTTAACTTTCAATGAGATTCTAACAAAATGTCTACAGAGAGGAAGGCAGGAAGGCTCAGTCATACAGACTGATGGGTGCACAACAGAAAGGTTTTGAGACATCTGGAAGAGAACAGAGCAACTCTACTGCCTGTCACTCAACAGTGCCATATTACCATATGACCATATTACCGTATTACCATATGACCATATGACCATATGACCATATTACCATATGACCATATGACCATATGACCATATGACCATATTACCATATTACAGTACAGCTGCTTGCACATGGCACAACTGTTATGCAAGCCGCACAAATAATTAATAGGGATGGGAATTTGAAAAATCTTCATATAAGTAGCTTAAGGGCCTGTTGATCACAACTGAAACCCAAAGCACTCAATCCCCAAGTCTGGACTAGCCAAAAGGACTGGAAAACAAACAAACACTACCTTTGGGTAACGCACCAACTTCTCCTTCAGCTGGGACTCCCTCAAAGCCTTTGTCATCAGTGGAGCTTCTTCCAGGCGTTTCCTACAGACATGGGAAGAAGGCAAGTTGTCTGTAATTTTACAATGCATTTTTACTTTATTAAGCTAGCAGAAGACCCAACCAGGGCTGATGAGAGCTGTTCAACTGCTTGATGCATCTCTCACAGCATTATCCCCACCTCCTGAAACTACTGAGCATCAGCAACAGTACTAGTTTAAAACCAAGTTCATGACAGCAGATGCAAGAAAAGATCCTAAGAGGGCAGGAAAGTCTGCTTAGACTACTCAAGAAGAGATGGACTTATTAATCCAATAAAGCAGAGACTAGGGTTGGACATGATTGCTCCACAGGGGCAGAAGAGCTACTGAACTTGAAAAACAATGCCAGCACAAAAAATTATGAAGTATTAGCAACAGGGGAAAAAAAAAAGTTTCAGATCATTCAAGAAATGTCATTGTAGACAGCTATTAAAAGGAACAGTGAGTACAAAATAAAAGTCTACTTGTATTTAAGAGGAAACAACGTAAGAAAATAATTCCATATTTTCCCGTAAGTAAAGAAATTAGCTTAGACCCAATAGAGCCCACGCTCAGCTCTAGTACCCCTTCTTTGTATCCGAGTAACTGATGTGTAACTTGCCTTTATTTTTATTGCTGGCTGTAAGGGGAAAGCATCAGCAAATTTGGAAATTGGGTCTTTTTTGGGGGGCCTGTATTCCAGTAATCCTCAACCAAATGACTCTACAATTGTACCACTAAATACTCCAGACCCACAAGCAGCAGAGCAATTTTCGGGCCATATTCTGTGTACTCAGTGGCCTGTGGGAAAAAAATCTAAGTTCAACTTGGACTTGGCTATAGCATAAAGGAGACTGTTTCACAGTCTTGGAGAGTTTTTGTAATGTTTAAAGGAATGTTTTGACCCACTTGAAACTAAATACATTCATGAAGTTAATTTATTTAAGGAACATACAGACAGCAAAATGCTGCTGTGACAGGAAGGCCAGTTTCTCTTCATCTGAGTTTCTACTGAAGTTTGATAAAGTAAAACCATGAATATTCGAAAGCAAGCTACCTGAACAGTGCAATACATTTTTAGTTCAGCTTTCTATAATTTCTACGTGTGTGTGTGACTATTCCAAACATTCTCAGGTCTTGACTTGTGGCTAAGTTGGTCTTTCTGATGAGGTCTAATAAAAGGTTAACTCAGTTACTTAGAATATAAGGTGTTTCTTACTGGCCAAAAATGCAACAACCTCTGTTGGTCACTGTCACTCTGCTCAACAACAGGGCACACAAAATCTCACTCACAGCAGAAAGGGAACTTGCCTCTCATTCTGCAGCTGTGCCAAACGTTTCCGTACATCATCCACTGTGACTTCAAAAAATTCATCAGGAAGCTCTTCTGGGCCATCAGGAAGTTGTTCCAGTAGGTCTAGGTGACATATAAGAGGCTCACGTTCTACAAGCTACAGAAAAAAAAACCAGCTTCAATTAGCTTTAAATGCATTGCTTTGTTTATCTTACCAGGTTCCTGAAAAAGAGCAGAAGGACAGTATTTGCAAACTGTCTTTTGACCTGTTGAGCTCTCCGAACTAAACCACTGTAGGGTTTCATTGCACACCTTTCAAAATTCTACCCTGGTTTCTGGTGGGCAGAAAGATCCCTTAAACAGTGAAACCCTTTGGTTTTGCACTTAGTAAGTAAACACTTCACCCTGAGATCAGCCTTTGCTGCAACAGGAGCATACAGATGCAGGAGAGCAGTTCTCTGTAGGCATCATCTGCAATAAAGGTACTTAATACATTTACAGGCAACTTTCCCTACATAGCAGAGCTGAGAGCAGGCACTCTGAGCTGCACACACACAGCCCTCTCACCTGCCCAGCAGGGCACAGAGAGCCTGGCTGCCTGCTGCCCCAGCCTGCAGGGCTCGGTGTCATGATGGCAAACCTTCCAGTGCAACTGGGCCTAGCCTAGAACTGTGGTTGCAGTTATGAAAAAACCAAACCAAAACAAGCCAATACCAAGACCCACGATCACCTAAAAAAACCAAATCAGAGCCCCAACCACTGAGATCAAGAGCATTTGCCATCTCTGCAGGCAGCATAATGGATCCCTCCTCAGGAAAGGTTCTGTGCTGGCTTCTCTCTCTTTTGCCCACAGCAGCAGCTGTGCCTGCATGTGAAAACAAACCATGAACAGAGTCAAGCATATGAGAGGCAGTTACACCTCCTGGCTCTCAAACAAGTCAAACTTTCTAAATTCCAAAACTGTTAGAAGGAACAAAGCTTGCAAACACAGAGAACAACATACTGAAGGCAACAAGAGATGCAGGGAGAACACAGCTCGTGGCTGAAAAGGCTCACAGAAGAAAAAATTTGGTAGTTAATCCAGCATTTCTTCCTAGTCAGCTGCCAGCTTAACAATGCCACAGGCTCTGTGAATGAACCCGCTGCCCATTTCTTCTCCCCTCAGACACTCTTTCCAATCCTAATTAACACCCAGATGTCCTTCCTCCATCCACTCACCCCTCCCCCAGGATCTGGCCACTTGAGAACAGGAGTCTTCTCAATTGTCTAAAGCACAACACAAATTACAAGGCAATGTTCACTCTACTTGTGGGCACTAAAGGGTAATTTGAGAAATTAAAAGATCGAGGTTGTGTGGGTGGGACCCTTGGCTACTTTTAGAAAGTTGAGCAGGGTCAGCCCTAACCAGCTGAGTAAAGGAGCCTGGCTCCAGCTTTCCCCAGCCCAGGGCGGGGTGGGGGTGCCAGTGCTGCGGGAGGGACCCCAAGTGCCCAGGACCATCTGCTGGGAAGCAGGTAGCACCGTGAGCCCGACCACTGCCCACTGATGCTCCAGTGAGGGCACATCTATGTCAGAGGGCAGAGGATAATTAATCAGGCCTCCCCAAGAACCCAGTGTACTTGAATCTCCTCAAACAGGCTTGAGTTTCATTTCATTCTAAACATGTAGTGAAAACAGAGGTCTTCCAAAAAAGCCCAAACCCAAGAGGAGGCATATCCCATGGCATGCTGTGAAGGGTGCTAGGGTACGATGGAGAGAACTCCAAAGTCTGCATTAGCAAATCCTAAAGTTACCATTTAGTATTGGCTCTCTGTCCTCTGAAACAAGGACTTTAGTTAATCCCAGCAGCAGTGGGATTCCACAGGGAAAGGGCCAGCTTGTCACTCAAATTATGGTGACGTTAATGGCATCTGCCAAGACATTGAGAATCACAAGATGGCACAAGGCAGACATATATTCCAGTCCTAAGTGTTCACTCCTCTTCCTTGCTGTGGGCTCCAACAATTCTAAAGCATAGACAGAATCCAAAAATTAACCTCCCACAATGATTACAAAAGAGGCTCCAGGAATACTAACCCACCTCCCAGCCCACTGCAGTCGCAGTGTTTTCTGCAACTGTGATATAAGATAACCATCTCCTGTAGCAATAAATGGCCACCACACCAATATTCTACTTTCCATTATGCAAACTGGAGGAAAGCAAGCTGTGCATTTTGCTGTCCTACTTCTTCCAGGAGCAAAGACGCTATGCTAAGGTTTCCTTCCTTCTTCAAAGTCTGCTCTTCTACCAAAGCTGAAATGTCAGGCACTTTTCACCATGAGGCTGAAGCCGTGTGTTCACAGCAGCATCTACATAAGTGCAGCCTGTGTGACAAAGCCAGGTGTCAGGAAGAATGCAGTTCACTCTCTAGTCACCACCCTGGTACCGGGGAAGCAGGTAAGCTGAGGAAAGGTTTTATGATTTAAGTGAAATAGTGGTCATTGTGCTTTCCACAGCAGCAAGCTCTCCCGAGGGACACACTTCCTCCCCACCACCTCTGAGAGCTCTAATCTCATCGTGAATCTGGTTTAAAGTTACCTTCTAATAATTAGCATTCTGACATCAAAGCTTGCAGCTGTCTGTAAACCATCTTTAGCCCAAGAAACGAAGGGATGCCGGCACAGATTTTATCCAGCCTCTCTTTAGCTTCAAAAACCACACACAGGCAAAGCATTAATGGGAAGATTCTTTTACAAAAATGGACCTTTGATGTTTAAAAATAATTTGTTTTGTTTTGGGTTTTTTTCCCCAGGACTGAAAAAGGACAAAAAGCAGATGCCATGTGGCTAGCCCTACTTGGCTGTTGCCGCTGGGAGGAGAGTGGAAGATGGCAGGAGTGGAGGAGGGAACAAAATGTAATCAATCAGAAGCAAAAGTACCAGAGATCAAAGGGCTTGAAAGCAGCCGTCAAAATCACATGCTGTTTAACACAAGGACACAACTCCCCCAACAGAATCTGCAGCTGCTCTCAGAGTGGAAGGGCGGCTGGCTCCAGAAGTGGTTAGAACTGGACTGTGATTCTGAGAAAGACATCGGTTCATGTGAGTCCTTCACTCACCACCACGCGGCCCATGCCCAGAATGTGAAGTCAGTGAAATGGTGGAGTTCTGCCTCTCCCACCGGTGCACAGAGAAAGCAACAGGACTGGTGAAGGATACCACCACAAACTCTTGCACCTCTCCTCCCTTCCCACACACAACAGAAACTCCTCCTTTCCAACTCCCTCATAGACAAGAGCGCAGCTGAAGCAAGCAACACATGAGACTGGACAAATCACCCAGCCTACTGCTTAATTCTCCGTGTTAAGGGTCTGCTCCAAAAGGTTAAACAACACTGATTAGACAAACCCAAACATGTTTGTAATATACTGAAATATTCACCACTGCAGGTTGGCATGGCATCTTTCTGCTACTTGTGCTCCAGAGTCCTTCCAGGGACTGGCTTCTGTTCCTAAACAATTCAGAACTCATCAAAAATAGGCTGCAACCACAAAGAAGTCAACTAAGGTAGAGTCTCTACATCAACGTGAAAGCATCCACAGTATTGCTAAATTCCTCCTGGACTAAGCTCCCTTTGAAGCTCCCCAGGCATCCTTTCTTTCTACTTATAGCTTTCTATTGTTCAATCCTGGCTGGATCAGACCAGAGGAGATTCAAGCCTCCAACTCTAGGAGGTACCAAAGAGTTGGAAACAATAAAGGGGATCTCTGAACACGAAAGCCTGCCTCAGTGATGAGCCAAAGGTGCAAGAAAAGAGCTGCTCGCTGGGAATCCAGAATGGGAAACTCTCCGTGCATATTAGCAAGGAGTAAATTATTAACTGAATGGCTCCTGTACTTCATATTATGCTACTTGCCAGACATACCCAACCTTCCTGAAGGCATTTAATTCCATACAGCTGCCCTATAGAAAACACACTTCAGTGTCATTCCCAGGTCACTCTGGGATGCCATCACAGCACTTTTCAGCCATCAGTTCTGGTACCTCAACATGGGCTGAAGCGCTTTTAATTTTAACAGAGTTTTATTTCAGAGACAACAACGGTGAGATATGTAATCTGTCTTTCTGGGAAATAGTTAGAGGCAGACTATTTAAGAAGCAAGATATTTTACAGTAAGACAAAAACCACTTCTATAAACAAGGAAAAACACAAAAGGAAAAGGATGGAAGGCTTCTGCTTCATCTGCAATACTAAGAAAATTAAGTCACAGGGCTCAGGTAACAAAGTGGGCATTTGTTCATGATATCTGAGGCACTGAGGTGTAGGATCTTCTGGACTGTGACTTAAAAGAGCTGTATTGCCTCTATTTGAACTATTCAAAGATACCTAGATATTCAAAGTTTTGCCCGCCTCTGGTCAGCAAATTCTTAAACTCAAATCCTTCCTATTTCCTTTCTGAACTGTATGCCATCAAGGCACCCAATCCTGTCACATAGGGAAAAAGTCTTAAATCTGGAAACGTCTTTTTCCTCATGGGAGTGCAGCCTCAGGCAAGGCAGGATAGAAAAAAAGCCTTGTTGCCCAAACTGCAAAGACATTTTCCCTTACCTGTTCTTGCTCCTTTCGCAGTTCTTGGCTGCTCTTAGACTTCTTTGGCTTAGAAGGGCCTCCAGGGCTGGAAAAAGTTGTTGGCAGCTTTGAAGGTGGTACAGCTACAGGAGAGTCCCCTAGATGCTTTCCATCTTCAGAAAAAGGGACAAATGGGGTAGGCTCAGGCTCTGGGGAGTGCCACAGCTCCTCCAAGCTAGCATCAGAATCTTTAATTGAGTCTTGCTTGTGTGTGCAGCTGCTTAAAGATACTGCCACATCCCTGTGCTCCAAGTCCTTTGGAAATGTGTTTGCTTGAGGTAGAGGCACATTCACTGCTTCTTCCATAGAGCCTGGCCTCACTGTTGGCTCATTACAAGGCACCGTGGCACCCACAACTTCCTCCCCACCAGATGAACTGCATTTCTTCATGACAACTCTTCAAGAAGACACCAAAAGGAAGAAAAATAAAGTGAAATTTAAGTGAATTTAAGTGAAATAGTGGTCATTGTGCTTTCCACAGCAGCAAGCTCCCCCTAAGGACACACTTCCTCCCCACCACCTCTGGGAGCTTTAATCTCATGGTGAATCCGGTTTAAAGTTACCTTCTAATAATTAACATTAACCCTAAGAGTACTGCCTTCCCTATTCTTAACATGTCCATGACACAAAGACAACAGCTGACTCAAATACACCCTCATTTCACAACTTTCTTCTTCCAGATGCTTACAGAGAACATGCTCCAGTTGCTGTGAAGCATGAAGTAAAGGGTCAGGGGGTTGTGCAAAACAACAGAACAGGGACCCACTCCTCTGGAAGAAAACTGCCTTCCAGAGGAAAATAGCAGTCAGTGGTAAAGCATAGCTTCTAATCACTCCTGCCTTCTGTATATACTGCAAACAGCTGGCCAGGAGATCACAGAAAGGTTGCCCCTGTCCCAAACTCACATCCCAACAGCCAGCAGGGCCTGCAGGGGCTGGGAGTTAAGTAACTGAGATCCAGAGCAGAGAAGAAGAATGAAGTGGTAGCTGATTGCCCTCGCAGAAAGACTTTTAACTTTAAATTGTCTGTTCCACTCAAAGGAGGAAGAAAGGAAAAAAAAAAAAAAAGTAACAAACAAACAAGCTCTTTTAATCTGCACATGACTGGTCAGTACCAGCATCTGCTGCTGTGCGAAGCACATCTGGGCAGCAGTCTGAGATAAAAAGGCAAATGCAATAATTTCTGAGTGCTGTAATGTTTTAGCTTGGTGTCTTTTTTTGAGACTTTTTTTTCCTTTGTCTTTCTTTTGGTATCTGAAACAAAATAAATTCATCACCAGAGTGGAAATGGAAAATAAAGAGGCCAAACTTTGCTTCTCCTAACCTGACAATGGCATTGCCTCCAATCAGGCCAAGTGATTTCAGTGTTGTCTTCTCCAGGGCATCTTTTCCTGATATCTGCAACAAAACCAGAGGAGAGTAATTATGGCCTCTGATTCCCCAGGAAAGCATGTAAAGTTCTTTATAGAAAGAAGCCTGTGTCCGAAGAAACACTACACAACACAAGAAACAGGTGAAAACATACTCCTGCAGTTGGAAATCAGACCTGAATCCATCTGTATCAACCTGTACTGTTTTACCAAATTCACAGCTTATTAAATCATCTCAATGGAAGATGACCTACATATATTTTCATCCCATAAACACGTCCAAGTGGGATCCAACTACAGCAAAGCTACTTTTATGTCAGAAGTTAAAGGAAAGGCAACATCTCAGAGCTGCAAGACAGATGATTTCCTTACATACACCTCCTATCCATCTGTAATGACCTATTCCAGAATAAAGACGATCTGTCCACAGAGGTCAGTGGGAAGTAAAGGGGACAGCTAGGGAAAGTGAATTCCATAATATCCACATACAAAATATTTAACAAAACATTAATAGCAAAAGATCAAAACACAGAAAAGCAAATATTTATTAAAATGAAAACACTGTTTTGACTCAAGCTTTAAAAGAAGTTGGAAAGAAAAACACAAATAGGTCATTGAGCTCATTTTATGGGCTCAGAGGTCTCAACGGCGCAAGGCTACGTTCCAAGAGAGCTTTTTTCCATACAGACACGTCATGCTTTGAAAAGACCAACATTTTTCTACTTCCCCTCTCAAGAAAGTTCAAAAGAAACACTTTCCAGTCTGGAAAGCAGAGCTAAGTTTTCTTATGTTTTAGGGACATGAGACAGTTTAGAGGTCTTTGCTGCCTTACCTCATCTCGCATGTAAATACAGACTGGAGACAATTCACCATGCTGTTCCATCAACTCCCTGCAAGAAAGAGCAAAACTCTGCAGCATCTGCAGAACAGCCAAGCCCCTCCAAAACCAGCGCAGAGTAACAGCACAAAGTGAAATCAGCTGGCAGCACTGTCCTCCATGTTTCTCCACCAATAACCACTACACAGTTCACAGGATCACTACTAGACATTAGGTAAACAATTTGCTTCAATGCAAACACAGGCTAAAAGTTTAAAAACAAATAAATAATCAAAGTAAATTCGGAAATTAGCTGATCTTACTAGATAAATTTAAGCTCATCACTGTTCATGTGCCTCAGTACCCAATCTGAAACATTACTTAGTTATATTTGCTCTTTTTAATCCAAGTTTAAAAATTCATTACAGTTTACACTGAACTTTCACTAGGGAAAAGTCCATTTCTTTTCATGTATGCACAGCAACAAACAAAATTAAATACTGCTCTAAAGCAGATCAACTAAGGACAAGAAACTTGCCTGTCTTAGTATCATTTTTTAAAAAGAAAAGAGAAAGTAAACAAACAAAAACAAAGCACATAAACTTTCAGATTCTGGGAACCATGAAAAAAGTAAAGCCAAATGAAAGACTGGCCCTGCAGACAAAGTGAAAATCAACCCATATTTAAGCATTTCAGTGATGTTGGACACCTATGAGTAATGATGCAAACTCTGACAGCCCATCTGCAGAGGAAGACAGAAGTGAAGGACCCTTTGCATGGAGATGGGGAAAAAACAGAGAGATGCTACTCTTTCCATTTTCCTCTAGATAAGCCTGAGATATCCTCTATCTCATTTTTATATCAAAGATATCTCATTTATATCAATAATATATCAATAATATCTCATATTATCCTCTAGATAATTCTGAGGATTTCCAGTAAAAGAGAACCTTTATTATATATTCACTTGATCAAATACAAAAGACAGGCAGGGAAAGGACAATCACAGCCTATCACAGCAAGTCTCAGTTTTCATCCAGCCAAGACAACGTGCAACTGCTCTATGGACAGCAGCCCATAAAACTGCTGAAGCTGTGAGGCAGGCAGAGTGGGAGACAGAAATGCAGGCTTCTTGCTCGTAGGGCAGACAACACTGTGCCCTCAACCAGCCTCTGCAGCACAGACTCCATGCAAAGATCCCCAGAGACTTATTTTTGTCTAACTCTTGGAAGCAGCAGACTCCTCCTCCAGCTGCTGCTAATCCATTACATGCACCCACTGAGGCAAGCACACACATCAAACATACTGTCCTCTCTTTGATGTGCTGCTCTTCAGAAGGGGAACGGCAAGCAGATTAGATTCCTTCATGTAGTGATCTGACAGGGCCTGTAAACATCTTGTGCAAGGACTGCTGCACGCTGAGAGGAGGAGCAGCCTCACAATAGCTTCCAGACCTTCTTCAGACCCAATTAGCAAAGATGGATGCTGGAAACCCAGGGGAAATTCCAGTGGATTTAGAATACTTCCCCTCACGCACTTAGAGCAGCTGAGCATTCCAGGAAAACATCTCCAGTTGAAAAGTCCAAGGAAGGATTCAGCAAACATCAACAACTAGCTGACTAGTTAGTCAACTGAATCAAAACACACTGAACAGCAACACAGCCCATTAAACCCATACTGATGGCCATAGAGCCAGCTTGTTCTGTGACTAAATCACACACAGCACCTTTCCTGCTTGTTGAACTTAATCAAGATTGCAAAGTCCATCCAAACATCTGAACTCAGCTTCCAGAGGGCAGAAAAGAGCAGCTGTGCTCTGAAGTTATGAATGCTTAGCACACTGCAGCAGTTAGAAGCTTAAGAGCAACATGTATGTTAAACAGTAGTATGACAATAACCTGCAACCAGTAAAACCACTTCAAAAGAGCAAAATTATATGAAAAGCTCAAATTTTAAAGCAAAGAAACAATTAACTAATACGTGATAAAGCCACAAAAAGGTTATTTGTCACTGTCAATATTACCACCTCCCACCAGTCTAGCAGTCCCCAAAATGCAACAGGCACTCTTCTCCTGACAGAGGGCACAGAGGGTGTAGAAAGGAACAAGAGGAGACTTAAAACACTCAGGAAAATTATACCTACCTCTTTCCTCAATTAAAAGAAAAATATTTTTTTTATCTCTAGCATTTACATGAATACTGTTCCTTTACTTATGAATAAATGTCACATTGTAGACCTAGTCCATGATTAAAAACAGATTGGCTATCACAGCTTAAAGGCTTCCTCTTCCAAATCATGAAAAACAGAAAAGAAGTGCCTTTCTTCGAGAAAAGTTCATTAGCTTGACATTTCAAAACAATACAGGGTTTGTAAAATCAAAACTAAAGACAAGAGGTAGCACTCAATGTAGACTGGACTAAAATAGTAAGATTTCTAACCGAGGTACATACTCAATAAATGTAGAATCAGAAATTCTTCCATTTAAACAGGATCTAATCAGTCCTTTGAAGATTCCACATTAACCTACCGAGAGCTCCAGATTTCCTTGAAGAACCTGCACAACAGCAAGCTTCAAAAGCAACAGCAACCCATAAGAAAGAACCCCTGCTCTACAGGGAACTGCAGCACAGAAATACTGGGGATCAAGATCATCCAGGCTTGACACACACATCTCTAGCAGTAACTTGACTTCAAACAGGTTTGTGTAAAAGGAAGGTAGTGCAACATATTCCAGTATCTTCACAGCTTTAGCAGTTTGTTACCAGTTTATGCCCTGAATTAGGAGTAGTAGTCTTGGGTTAAAAAACAATAATAAAACTATGGATTGTCAAATCTGAAAGAGCAAGAAAAATGCAAACATCTCTGTTATAAAGGAGAAATCACAATCAAATAAATGCAAATTCTACAAATCTGAAGGATTAGCTGGGTCACTGTAACAAGTAATTAGTGGCATGCAAGTATTTTCTCATTGCATTGCTCACCTGATCTTTGCAAAATGATTGAGAAGTTCCCACAAGGTCTGTTGGCAGAGGAAGGTGTCTTGCAAACGGGAGCCATCATCGAGTTGTAATGCTATCCGAACCTATAAGAACACCACAATGAATTCATCTGAAAATTGAATGAAAACTTATTTTTCTTCACAACTTTTCAAAATATCTCAGTGCTTCTTGTTCATCCGTGCAGGTATTCCAGCCTGAATTCCTGTTTGTTGGGATGGATGGCTCCTGAGCAGGGGGGAGGCCATCCTGAAATACTAACCAGCTTTCATGGGCCCCTCTCCCCTGCCATATCTTGAACTGGAACATACTCAGAGAAAAGTCAAATACCGTGCCATTGTTAGCAACAGAGGTGTTCTGTTTTATACCAGATGAAACTTTACAGTAAGGGTCTTCACAGCTACATAAAACAAATTCCCATAATCCAGACATAACTGATGCAGCTGTACCATCTAAAACACCAACACAGAGCTCTGTCCACTTAAGCATCATTTTGCAGAACAACTTCCCTGGGACAAAACAGCTCACGTGCATATCCACACACAGAAACAACGAACACAGTGCCCATCTACTCCTGCCTTACTGAAGAACTAAACAACTGTCACCAGTCCAAAGAAATTATGTTTGTAACTTGCAACTCACTAATGCTTCCTAACCACCACATTTTTACATACAATTTAAGAGTGAAGTAACAAAAATCTTAACAATAACTCCAGTTGTTAAATTATCGAGTTCTTGAACACATGCAGAAAAAGATAAGGGCCAGTTAGCTGCCGATTTTAACAAGTCTTTTCCAACCTGGCATGCAAACATCCACATATATTACCAAAGTCAGAAAGACTTTAGAAAATTGCTTCCCTACCTCTCCCCAACAAACAAAACAAAACAAAACAAAATCCAAGGCATTTCTAAAGTGAACACAGGCTGGGGTCAGTCCTGAAGAACTTCCAACTCCTGATTGTCCCAACAGAAAAGTTTAGCAGCTAACCAAGAGATAAGAGAATGGCAGAGCACTTCAGGTGTTATCTTTACCTTTTAGAGAATATTCAGCCTTTTTCAAAATGCCTAACTCTTCAGTTTTCCCAATTAGTTCACCTGTCTAAAGAAAAAGCATACAAAGTCCTGTAGCCACTAGATAGAACCTGGTTTCTCCAGTCACCTTTAGTTTTCAGAAGACCACAAAAACTGGCCTTATTCCAAAGCCTGAGAAGGACATTAGCCCCAGATAGCCAAAGCCACTTTCTTTCATTCTGTGTTTTCATGTACCCCTAGTAACACTCTCAGTGCAGCCTCTGAGTGCAAGGCGTGTGTGCAAACATGAGGGCAGGGGCTACAGAGAGCTGGGAAAGAGACATCACACATTCCAGTAATCCACACTGTGATTTCCATGGAGGAATAAGTTCGTCATCTGCCTTGGCTCCCACCAGTCCTCACAGGACTGCAAATGCTGATCTGCTGGAGACAGGAATTTTTCTACATAAAGGAAACAGTGGCATCTTTAATAATGAGCTGACAGTACAATGTCGTTTCATCCCACCACTAACACAACCTCCTGGTTTCTCTGACATGGAAGACAAGCCTTAGATTATTCTCAGCTACAGCAGTGATGACAGCTGACATCACCATTCTGTAAGAATCCAGCCCAGAAATTCAGACTACCAGTTGCATCAGTTTTTGGGAAACAGTTCAAAGCTAAACATGTCACGAAGTCCTATTCAGTCCATTAGAAAAGTCTCTTCGAAAACCCCAGGTGCTATATAAAATAAGAGACCAGTGATAATTATAATCTAAGTTTACAAACATTTAAACAAGAGCAGAAAACACCAGAGCTCTACTGATGATGCTCCTGCCTCACCTGCCATCAAAAGGAATTTGTTCAATTTTTCACTGAACAACCGTCTTACAGGAAACGATGTTTTTCACATGCAAAGGCAAATCCAAAAGCTTTCTATTTTAAGACATCAGATTTGCTGAACAAACTCATGATTTATCAAAACCTGTACTCTGTCTCTAGGGTAACTGCTGTCACTACAGGAAAGCACACCTACTTCCACACACATAATCTTAATAGAACATACAATAACTAAAGACACAGAATCAAATTCATCCCAACATTACTGCAGCCAGCTGGCATGACTGAGTGGTCATCTGAACTGCCACTACACCCCAGTCACAGTCATCTGGCTGTTAAAAAATCCCGTTTTTAAACACATACTCCTTGTGGCAGGGGATTGTTTTTAGTCAGTTGTTCTGTACAAAGTCTTTTCTTATACTGTGAAATTCTCCCAAGTAAAATCTGCTCAAGTTCGTGGGGTAGGGACTCTGTTTAGACTCCACTCTTCACATGTGCATTTGCTGCATCTTCTTACCTTCACGACACAGCAACGAGCACTCCCAGGGAAGCCTCACTTCTGTAGATTGTTCTGCTGAACTGCAACTAAATAGTAACAACTTACACTTCTATTTGCTCTTATCTTTGGTGATCTATAACCCCTCTCCTAACGTGAATACTCCTTCTTGCCCTTTCTCGCAATATAACTTCAGGAGAAAAAAAAAAAATCTTTGTTTTTCTCCAGTACCTCTCAAACTGGATGCAAATGTCAGGTAGTGATCACTGCACCATTTCAAGAGAAACACTTTTCTCTGGAAGACAAACTCCATTCCACCGCAACATTTCACTGAAAATTTTAAGCAGATGCTACTGGTTTGTGGTATTTTTTTTATGTAAGGACATCATTTGAAGCACAAATGTCTTTCTACCCCCAAATCAGAAAAAAGGCATTAATGCCAAAACTAGGAACACGGAGGTTTTTAAGGAGAAAAACATCAGGGACCCCCAAAACTATGTTACACAGTGAACTAAAGCAGTGACTCCAAAGCTTTCTCACACCACAAAGTTCCCTTTTCAACGTATCAGTTTCTCTATGTGACAGCTAGAGCAACTGCCTATAACAAACACCACTAACACTGCTTGGCTGACAGACATTAAGAGATCAGCACCAAGAAACCTGAAACTTACATGAAAATTGAAAAACTTCCTATGAAGGACGTTTTTGTTAACTTCCTATGAGGAAGTTAATAAATAGCAAGATAACTGTTAGTGATAGACAAATTTCCATTCCAAGGCTACTTAGGTAAGACCACACATCATTTTTACAACATCAAAGTTCACACTCAGTAACACCTATGCATAACCTGAAAAGTTAGGCCTATGGCCAGAGGGATATGTAGAATAGATTTTTACTCTCTTAAAAGTGGCCATAATTTCTAGAGAAAACAGCATCTGTAAGCCCTTTGCAAATTATACTAAATAGGGACATTTGCCCACTGATGAACACAGAACATGTCACGAAAGACTCTAAAGCTGTGTAAACACACCAATGCTGGGAAAGCAGCAAAAGAGGATTCTGTAAGAACCTGAGATTTAGTGAAAATCCAGAGCGGGACAGGGCAACTGCAACAGAAATTAGGAAAGGGAACTCAATTAGTCATCACTGGTGTTTAACTTCTTAGACATCCATGACCACTAGCTTTTCAGCTCCCCAAACCATCCCACTCTCCTTCAGCACAGCTGGTACCCCATGCTCATGCAGACTCTAAGCAATGACTTTCAGCTACTTAATTACCATTTTCGACTGCACTGCAACCAGTCTTTAGCTGGTCTCTCACATAGGCTTTGGCCGTGTCAGCCTGTGCTTTTGATCATGAGATCTGATGGGATCATATCAGCACAACTGGTAACTGAACAAATCAGGTCACATTGCGTAAATTAACATACCGTGGCTCCAGCTCCTGCTCTGTTGGAGACCGGTACCATCTCCAGTTTGGCATTGTTGGGCAGCCTAGCAAATCTCCACTGCAAAGACAGGTCCAAAACATTTCTCTGAAACCTGAAGGAGAGAAGAGCCTATGAGCAATACAAAGTCCAGGTATTGTGCAAGAGAATTCCCAGGAGGCCGACTAAAAGCCACAGAACATGATTCAATAATGAACAACTAGCAATTGTAAAAGCATCATCAACAAAAGCTATTGTGCACACCAAAACAGCTGCAGTTTGTAGAGGTCGCAGAGAAGATACACAAATCTGCGTTCCTCCTCTAAAGGTTTTTAAGAGATAAACAGCAACTAACTACATAACCAAGCCTGGTTAAATCCCAATGTACTCATGTACTTTTTTTTTTTTTTTTTTTTTTTTTTAGTGCTACTCAGACAAATGAGCTCTCAAGTGAGACACCATAAAAGCAGAGGGTCAAACGCCCACGTGAGAAGGGAGACAGGCGTAGCTGGTCTGTGGCCTAGATGAGGTACACGCGTGGGTGTTCGGTGGAGAGACATGGGGCCTCGGCTCTGTCCCAGCAGCGAAAGGAACGTGGCACAGGGACACGGGGACGAACCGACCCGACCAGAGCTCAGTGTGTGCCGCGGGCCCTCGCACTCCCACCGCCCGCCGCGGGCTCCGCCAGGCCCCGGGCACCCCGCGGACGGGGCGCGGGCTCCGGCAGCGCCCGGCCCGGCGCGGAGAACGGCCGCAGGCAGCCGGACCCGGGTCCGGCCCCACGGTGACACTCACTTGAGGCCGTACTCGCCAGGGCTGCCACCCTGCTTCCTGCAGACCTCCTCGAGGACCTGCGGAAAGAAGAGAGGCGTCACGCCGGCCTGCGGCCTTGCCACCGTTTTCCCCTCGGCCCCCTCCCCGCCGCGGACCCACCTGGAGCAGGACCGTGCCGGGCCCCACCCGCACCGTGACCCGCCGCCCGCTGGGCGCCAACACCGACACCGCGGCGCCGCCCCCGCCCGCCGCCGCCATCTTCCCGTGCCGTGCCAGCCCCGCGCGGCCGGGGCGGAGCCGGCCCGAGGCCGGCCTGCTGCGGGCCCGCCCCGCCGCGCCCGGACCGCACCGCACCGCGGGGAGCACGACGGGGGCACCGGCCCGGCCCGGCCCGGCGGCTGCGGAAGCGAGCCTGAGCGAGCCGTCGCGGACGAGTCCCGGCCTGGCGCAGCCGGCTCGCGGCGGGACGGGCAGGCGGCTCTGAGGCCGGGGCAGAGCGGTTCGCCCGCGGCGGGCGCCGAGTGCGGTTCGCTGGGCACGAGGGGGGCTGGCGGCGGCGGCAGCGGCCCTTGCACAGGGCAGACGGTGGGCGGCTCGGGCTGCTCCCCCCGGTGCTGGGCGGGGGCTACCCCCGGCCCTGCCCGCTGGGCCGAGGTGGGGGCGGCTCCGGAGCCGCTGCCGTCTCGCAGCTCCGTGGGGAACGGGAGGGGAGCCAGCCACACGTCCCGCTGTGTTGTCCCTTGGGTTTCCAGTGTCGGGATCAGGCACCTCCTCAAGGGAAATAAAACATTCTCTTCTTGTACCGAGACCCTAGCCGGCAGCGCAGGCGGAGACCCCGAAGCGAGGGCGGGCCGGCCCGGGCATCCCCAGGCAGCGCCGGGGACCAGAAATCCCTTGGGATGAAGGATTCGTGTCTCTCTCCCAAGCAGTGACACCGAAAATCCCTGCGTGTGCAGGGAAGGTTCTCCTGGGCCAAATAACAGCCCTGGCGGAACGCCGCATGTCACAGGGGAACGGGGAGCATCCTGCCGTGTACCCAGTGCCACAGGAGTGTCCGGGCGGTGTCAAAATCAGGGCGCCGTTGGTCAGACAAAGCACAGCATCCTGCTGCCCCCGAAAGCCATTTCTTCTGAGGAAAAAAAAAAAAAAAAAAAAGTTTGTTTGGAACCTCGTGGTCAGTGCTGCAAACTCAGATGGTCAGGAGAGAAGGCTGCAGCCAAGGAACAGAAATTATCATACATTTCACAACACACAATTTCCCAGAGACTTAATTTCATTTATGGGTTTCCCCTTCAGTCTCAGCATGGCCTCTGCATCAAAGGCGCTCTCAGATTCGATGACAGTCTGTTTAGTTTGCTATCATAAAACCAAACCAAAACAAAACAACTCACCAAAAAAAACCACAAAACAACAAAAAAAAACAAAACCAAAACTTTTAGTCTGAGTAACCACTGGAATTTATTTAGCCTAAGTTGTAACCACATGCCAAATACTTTCTTTTTTCTCTACTTCTTCTATATTTATCCTATATGTTAAGCTTAAGTCTCCACCTCTACCCCCAGCACCCACAAAAATGTCTGGTTTACTTGGCTTATAAAGAGAAAGATCTTTTTAAGGAAAGACACTTTCATAAAAGATAATGCTTGTGTTTACTATATCAGCAGTGTCAGAGAAGGGAGAAAAATGGGAATTTTAATGATGGAGAGATCCTAGCTTATGCATGTGGATTCCTAAGTCCATCCAATACCGTAACTGTTCAGTGAGATGCAGAAATAGTAATAAAGGATGTCCAGGTGTAAAATGTTTCAAACAATGCTTTAAAACGTCTTTACATTTTGTTCATTCCATTGGGCAGTATCATTGCTATCATATTTATAGAGCTACAGTGTCCAGGATATATAGTTTTCTACCTTTTCAATTGCCTTTTCCTGTAAATATACATGAAGACGTGAGAGGACTTAAGGGCTGAAAGCTGACACACTTGTCTAAAAAAGGGTGCAACAACTATCTGATATTCAAGTACTTCTTAGTCTTTAAAATGGGGAGATCTAAAGCTCTGCAACTATCTCACACATAATGAAGATATGCCATTCTTCCACTAATTAATACTTTTTCTGGAGAAGAAGAAGCAATTAAGATGACTTTGTTAACTGCAGTGACTATTGCCTTGCTCAGGCAGAGCAGCCATTCCAACCTGAAAGACACATTTTGGGTTTCATAGTCCAAAACACTGGTCTCATTTCTGGATGGGTGTAGCTCCTATTTGATGTCTAAAGCAGGCAGCTGTTTCCTTTTTTGCATCTGGAAGTGACACATCCCTTAAAGAAATGTTGCTCCTTTAAAAAAGAACTAATGTAATTTGAGCTAAACATTTCCAAGTTGTGGGATTAGAGGTGATTCTGGTTATTAATAGTATGTCATAATCACAGAGTTGCATGGAGGTGAAGGGTCACATTTCATATCCAGAGCCACTTCTAATCTCAAATATTTATCTGAAATTAGAAGCATCAGGAGAGAAATGGGGGAGGTGACTACAACCTGGAGTCCATTAAAGAAAGAGGAACTCATTTGGGAATGGCTGAAAACAGCCTTATGTCTGATTTCTGCCACTGTCAGGCTGGAGGATGCCTGCAAATCTACCAGGTGAGTCCCAGACAAACATCCTCCAAAATTTTGTCTTAAATTGCATTTCTTTGGTAATTACAGTGAACACACCGCAGAATGACCTTTCCTAATCCCATTTTTCAGGCAGCTAGTGCTTTGCATTTAATACACAGCCCTGGAACTGTGTGCTTCTGCATTGTCACAGGCATACATATGTCACAGGGAGTAACATATATTTGCTTTTTCATAAAACAGCAAAACCTCACCTGGTTTTATTTTTTATTCTTTCAAAACGAACAGAAAATTAGCTGTGAACATCTAGAAATATGCAGTAGCAATGATGCAGAACAAGCTGCTTATCACAGTAACTATAATCCTGGGGTGTTTTCTGCTGCCTGTACCGACATCACTGACCACAGAGTGTCCTGGGGATGTTCAAGAGATGGTTCCTACCAGAGCATCACCCAGCATGGCACATCTGTACCCAGGCGTTAAGAGGGCTCTACAGCTCTCCTGGAGTTCCTTACAACCCCTGGCCTCAGGGTCAGAGCAGGTAGCAGTAGCATGACTGTGTGAAAGCAGGATTCTGTTGGTGAGTAGTGCTGTGTGGGGTAACTTATGCACAAGGCAAGACCCAAGCAACGAGCCAGGGAGCTTGGTCTGAGCCAGGGCTGCAGGGTGGCTCAAATCAGGAATGAGAGGAGCCCATGAAGGGGGACCATACCTGTGGTATGAGCCCTTACACAGGACTCAGGTGTTACCCTCTTGGTTCCTGGGTTTCCTTGGGAAACACCTAAGGGCCAAGTGCTGGGGCTGCCTTAGTCCTGGCAGGGTACGAGGGAATTCAGAACTGTCTCATAAGCTTTTGTACAGCACAGTCCAATATACTGAACATATAGGGACATATCTTGGGACACAGTGGAACACATTATGCAGGGCATTTCACTTTCAAGAGTATTAAATAAAAACAGTATCTCCCATAACATTATTCCCAATCATTAAAAGTCTCCTGTTTGCCTCCTATGTGCCTCACTCCTACCAATAAAAATGCCAAATCTCCAGTGCCTGGAGCAGGACTCCAATTCTTTCAGCGTTCTCGGAGCTTCTTTTTGTACTGAGGCCAATCTATTCAGTGTAGGGAGGCACTTATCAAAAGACTAAAACTCAGTGAACCTCTCGTGCTGAAGTATTATAAAATTATCTAAAATCTGTGTTACTTTGATGTTCACTCAAATTCAGTATGCCAAGGAGTTGAACGGTACCAGATTTACATGTTTAGAAATCAGAAAGGCTGTTGTACCAGATCTACAGCCTTACACTCTTCCTCATAGCCCCTTGTTCAGCCACGAAAAGCAATACAACATTTTAGTGAGCTTTGGAAGGGTAGCAAGGGTGCCCTGAATAAACCCTTCCCTGAGTGACCCGAATCAGAGGTCAGAAAGCTGAAGAGGGCTCAGTAAAGCCAAGCCAGGCAAAATTTAAATTTCTTTGCTTCACTTCTTAGGACAAAGACCTGCAACTTTAACATGCATTCCTCTCTGCCATAAGATGCCTCCCTGGTGCATCATAATGCGCCAGCTGGTTACCAAGCAAGGCATTACAGAGTGCAGGAACTCAGCCCTCCGTGGAGAGAAAGAGCAGGGACACCAGGAGGAATGCAAGCCTGGCAACAAGAGGCACAGCAGCCTCACTGTGAAGGATGGAGTTCAACAATCTTACCCCTTCTGGTTTCTTGCTGTACCTAGTGGACTGTGAGGTCCTGAAGTTGTTTATGCCATATTCTCCAGGGATTCTGGAGCACTCTGAGGAGTTACTGCTTCAGACTTTGCACTAAAAGTGACCAGTTTCCAGAGGAAGCTCTGCTCAGGCTGACTGACGAGTTCTTTAACTTGCTATAACTAGTCTCAGAAATTGCTCGGACCTGGCACTGACAGCAAGGAAGGGAGGTTTAGGCCAGTGCAGAGAAAGATACAATGATGCAGAAATATAGGAGCAAAAACTTGTCAGGGGGTGAACGTAGTGCACTTGAGGAGGTGCACGGTCAATTGAGTAGCTTTTCTTGGCTTTAAAGATACTGTTGCCAGTATTAGCACTTAAATAAAACATTTGGGAGTAAAAATCTGAGTGAGAACAGAGCAAGAACTGAGAGTACATAAGAGTAACTGAAAGATAAAAAACCCAACATGGCAAGCAAACCAAAACCACATGCTACGTGTGTAGGAAACAGAGCTGTGCCTACATTCACAAAGTCCAAACACAGTAAGGTAAAAAATGTAGTTGCAGCAGTTGGACAGCCGTAATTTCAGCCTGACAAAAAAACCTTCCACGTGCTATTTTAAGATTATACTATTTTCACCTTTTCTAATCCCAGATAGATTATATTTCCTAGTAAAGACAATCTTCCTGCTCCTTTCTGGAGGGCTGGTGAGAAGCGTGAGTTGTCCTACTTCCTATCTAAACGAATTATTCAAAGTGTACGATTTTCTCTGGTTTTCCTGGGTTTTTAACTCCGAGGGGCTCTGCGATAAGGCCATTTCCAGAGAACTCTCTCTCTCTCTCTCTCTCTCTCTCTCAGATGACCGGCACTCTGGCGACAACACGGCTTTTTCTCCAGGATTTTTCTTGCAATTCCTGGAAACGTCCGGGCCCCGGGG